TCCATGCCACGCCGCATTGAAGCAGTCATTCATGCAAAAGGATTCCCGACCAAGTATTGAGTGCATAACTGAACATGATTATTTGAAGGTTGGTGTTTTTTGTATTAAAAACACTTGTCTTTCATTGGTGGGATGAAATATGCTAATTTTTTGGGACAGGCATTTTGGGTTTTCATGAGCTGTATGCCATAATCATCAGTATTAAAACAATTAAAGACCTGAAATATTTCAGTTGGTGTGAAATGAATCTGAAATATATGAAAGTTTCATTTTTATCATTACATTATGGAAAATAATGACCTTTATCACAATATGCTAATTTTTTGAGAAGGACCTGTATATATATATATATATATATATATATATATATATATATATATATATACACACAAGCGGTGTGAGACTTTGGTTCGCATTACTATGAGTAAGTCAGAACCCTTCAGCAAGGGAGTTGGACTCCATCAGGCTGCCCGTTGTCACAGATTCTGTTCATAACTTTTATGAACAGAATTTCTCGGTGCAGCCAGGGGGCGAAGGGAGTCAGGTTCAGTGGCCTCAATAATCCATCTCTGCTCTTTGCAGATGATGTGGTCTTGTTGGTGTTGTAGTGCCATGATCTCCAGCTTTCATTGGACTGGTTTACAGTCGAGTGTGGAACAGCTAGGATGAGAAACAGCACCTACAAATCTGAGGCCATGGTCCTTAATCGGAAAAGGGTGGATTGCCCTCTTCAGATCGAGGGTGAAATTCTGACACAAGTAGAGGAGTTTAAGTATCTCTAGGTTTTGTTCACAAGTGAGGGAAGAATGGAGTGTGAGATTGACAGACAGATTGGTGCAGCATCTGCACTATTGCAGACTCTGTTCTGGTTCGTTGTGGTGAAGAGGGAGCTGAGCTGTAAGGCAAAGCTCTCCGTTTACCTGTCAGTCTACGTTTCTACCCTCACCTATGGCCATGAACTCTGGATAGTGACGGAAAGAATGAGATAGTGGATACAGGCAGATGAAATTAGTTTCCTCTGCAGGGTAGATGGACTCTCCCTTAGAGATAGGGTGAGAAGTTCAGTTATTCAGGAGAGACTGAGTAGAACACTGCTCCTCCACATTGAAAGGAGCCAGTTGAGGTGGTTCAGGCATCTGGTAAGGATGCTTCCTGGGTGCCACTCTAAGGCTTCAGGCATGTCTGACTGAGGAGAGACCCCGGGGAAGACCCAGGATATGATGGAAAGACTATGTCTCTGGGTTGGCCTGGGAATGCCTTGGAGTCCTCCAAGTAGAGCTGGAAGAGGTGGTTGTGGAAAGAAACTTTGACCGCACCATTTCAGCACCATGGTCCTTTAATTTTTTCATCTGTTCCTAGATGAGCTGCTGAGGGGATCATTGGGTTGTTACATTATGACTCAATTTGGTCCGAACTTCAGCATTTGGACAGATGGACTTACATTTGACTCAAGTATCCTTTGGTCTGGGCAGCACGGTAACACAGTTAGTAGAGCTGTTGCCTCAGTAAAAAAGTCGCCGGATCTAATCCCAGCCAGGGGACTTTCTGGGTGGAGTTTGCATGTTCTCTCCGTGTTGCGTGGGTTTTCTCTAGGTACTCCGGTTTCCTCCCACAGACCAAAACCATGCATGTTAGGCTGAGTGGTAACTCAAAATTGTCCCCTAGGTGTGAGTGAGAGAGTGAATGGTTGTTTGTCTCCATGTGTCCCTGTGATGGACTGGAGACCTGCCTGCCTCTAACACAGCAACGACTTGATATGGTCACCAGTGACCCCCGCGACTCGAAAAGGAAGAAGCGGGTAAAGATCATGGATGGATGGATCCTTTGGTCAACAGAGGAGTTCAAGATTGACTGCAAGGTGCCCAGGCCATCAGCCCTGCACCACCATGCTGACAGTTGGTATGAGGTGTTCATGTTGATATGCGGTTTAGTTTTCTCCCAACATGCTGTATTGCATTATGGGTAAGAATGTGCGATATATACGATATATGGTAGAAATGATAGAAATTTAGCCTACAATGGAGATCTGTCTTCTACCGGCTAACCGCAGTAATGCTGTGTCTGATGTAAAATCAGTGTTTTCAGTTAAATCGTTACTTTTTGAGTTGAAAACTGTGCGTAAGTGGTGTTCAAGTCTTTTCTTCGAGCGCTAAGTAGCGAAGCTACAAGCTAACTACGGCCGGCTTGCCATAGTGTTGCCGTATTCTGACGCATGCGCAAAATGCTGTGTTCCGTCGAAAGTTTTTTTTTCATTTGAAAGTTAAAGTAAGTGTTGGTCAGCTTTAGAGAAACCTGCTCTCTGATCTGTGAAAAGAACGCTGTGTTGTGTGATTTTACTGCGAGACCCTCTGGTCAAAGCCACAGATTCATTTTGTGTCAGCTCTCCATTAAAGCAGAAGGAGTTGCCCACTAGAGGGTTGGAGGGTGAAGTGTTTACAGTGTAAAATGCTGCTCTGTTGCTGTTCATTTCTTAAGTGAGAAGACTGGAAACTGTTAAGAGTTAATTAACAACATATTATTTTGTTTAAAACATATGGCTAAAACTACATTTGATATCTTTTGCACAGTTTTGCACTACAAGAAAGAAGCCTAATACTCGATTTGTTTATTATTTAAAAACTCTATGGACCTAGTAGTGGAATTTTTTAAATTCAAAATATATGATGGCAAAAGGACACCCTATGCTTTTTTAAAATTCCTATTAAGTTTTATACCAAAAACATATTGCGATATATATCGTTATTGCCACGCTTCACAATACATATGAATGATATGAATTTTATGCCACATCGCACATTCCTAATTATGGGTAAACATCTTCACGTCAATCTCATTTTCTTTAAGAATTCTTATGGTTCATATTAAATTTTACATACCTAAGTGATGCTGCCATGTTCATGGAGAAAAGAGGTTTTCTCCTCCTACCCTTCTAAACACGTCCTACTTTCTCAGCCTTTTCCTAACATGATTTGTAACCTTTAACTTGTTAACTGAGGCCTGTGAAGGTCTGAGATAAAGCTAATTTCTCTTGAGCATTGCAGGGTTTGACCTTGGGGTGAATTTCCTGCGATGTCCACACCTGGGTAGATTGGCAGAAGTCTTACAGGTTTACTTTTTGCTTTGTTTTTAATTAATAAGTAATAATGGTGAACTTGCTGTGTTTTTGTACACTACAGGTTCGATCTGAACATTTGAACTTTATAAAAACCAGATCAGTTTTATTATGTGTACTAAAACCCTTGAACTGAAAGAAGGCGGACTTTGTTCAGCAATTAAAAATATCTTGGCCAATACTATTTTATCAGGTAAATATTATTACCTTGACAATACTACAAACATTGACATTTTTATGCATCATTATGGAGATACATTGTCAAACGAGAATTTTTATGAATAATAATCATTTTTGTAAACTGGGTAACAGAGAAAAAAAAAAAAAAAACGGCTGAAACAAAATGACCTGATAAAAAGTCGCATGATAATAGTAGGTGTGGCAAAGTTTTTGAGTTGTGAGAAAACCTTGGTCAAAAATCCTTCCAAGACTGTTGGGCCCTCCAAAATGTCAAATAAAAAGCAATCTGCTCATTGTGTGTCCTAAAGAGTAAAAATAGTCTCTGCGTTTGGCTGTAGACAACTAAAAATGTAAAAAAGGAAGAAGCGGCGTCGAGAAAATTTCCGACAGCCGGAAATCAAAAGGGTTAGATATCACGGCATGCATACCTGATGTCAGCAAGCTAAAATATAACCCCAGTAATCACCGTGTATGAAAGAATGTGCTCAGAATGCAACCAAAGATTCCTCCATAGTGGCCTTGTCTGAACTTTCAACAATACTCCCCTAAGAACAACTGTAAACAGGATTTAAAACAATATAGCATATAGCTAATCAGCTCTACATTGTCATGCGAGTCAATGGTCCATATTACTTTTTTATTTCCTAATGAAATAAACACTAAATGACATTTGTGTTTTAATTTAGATTAATGTAAAAATGAGTCCAATTTTGAGCTGTGTGTGAAAAAAGAAGCTGTCTTTCACCTCAGGGGAGCACTTAAGAACAGATGACTTCAGCATGGTGAACTGCTCACCGACACACAAGAGGAAGATTTGTTTCCTGTGGAAAAATTACATCCATTTCCTTAGAGAAAACTGAACGTGAGAAAAGCTTTACTAATCCAGACACCTTTGAAGAATGAAGTCAAATTAAACTCCAGGCTCATCTGAGCCCCATACTTTATCGTCTTCTGTGAGAATTGTCTTTTTAATCTCATGGGGAAATGTTGGGGAAAGATGTAATGATGTTATCCATTGGTTATAGCCAACAGTACAAATGGAAACAATCGCCTGGAACACAGGAAACAAAATAGAATCTCACTCTGGAATAACCAGACTTAGAACACAATGCAAACACTGAACATGCTTCGCTCCAAGGGTCAAATAAAGCATTTGAAAGGTAGGAGTCACAGAGCAAAAAGGTTGAAGAGCAATACTGCTGGCACTTTGTCTTCTTTACATTTTACGCACAGCTGGATCTGACCATCAGCAGAAAGTGTTTGTCGTCACAACAAGGGGTTTGAGGGTCTATCATGGGCTCCTACCTCAGACCAGTAAAAGCAGATGTTAATCTACCGCATTTATATTAAAAAAAGACAAAAAAGATTTTTTGTGCAAACCCTGAAGAGCCCACAAGTACCAACCATCCCTGAAAGTAATAAAACATGAAGAGCCATGTATGATCTCATTTAAAAGCAAAGGTTATTGAGGTGTGCCAGCAGGACAATGCTCTTAGGATAAACACCAACATACTGAGAGTGAATGTATAAAGAGAAAGAAGAAAGAATGTGTATTAGGACGATAGTGATGGGTGTTCCAACCTCCTTCAGGGCCAGTTTCATCTCTGATCACAGGTGAAGTCAAAGTGATTGTCACTTGCATTTTTGGCTCGCTGCAAGATGTCAGAATGATGGCAGCTTCCTGCAACAAGGCCTTCACCTCATATTTTTCTGGAGTCACTATCTGAGGGAACAAACAGGACAGATGGTCAGGATTATCTCAAAGTCCGTTCCACTGAGCTGACACTTCAGCTACTGATATGTTAATGATGAGTGTGGCCCAATCCCATTTATTGCCTCCCCTCACATAGAGATGTCCTAGTCTTTATTAATTTTATTTTTTTACAGTGCCTTGAAAGAGGGTTCATATCCTCTTGAACTTTTCCATATTTTCTCATGTGACAACTTTAACCCTCAAAGTATCTTACTAGGATTTTATGAGACAGACCAACCCAAACGGGCGGCTGTGGCTGAGTGGTTAGAGCAGTCGTCCTCCAGTGCAAGAGTTGGGGGTTCGAATCCACCAGCAGTCACATGTCGAAGTGTCCCTGGGCAAGACACTGAACCCCTCATAGCCTCTGATGTGTGCCCCATCAGTGTATGAATGTGATCTAAAGCACTGATTAGTCTCTTTAGAATGATTTGTTCAATTAGCTTTGTAGAGATCTAGTCGAGTGCTGTATGAATGGGTAAATGAGGACACAGATTGTAGTGTAAAGCGCTTTGAGTATCTCCATAAGATAGAAATGCACTATATAAGTACAGTCCATTTACCATTTACAAAGTAGAGCATATTTGTGAAGTGGAAGAAATAAATGAGACGCGTGATGCCTCAGTTGGTAGAGCTGTTGCCTCTCAGCAATGAGAGCCCTGCTGAGATCTTGGCCCAGGGTCTTTCTGGGTGCAGTTTACATGTTCTCTCCATGCATGCTTGTCATCTACTAAACACAAAGCACGTGCACAGGTTTCCCCAGGTGTCATTAAATTGCTTTAGTTTGGTTCAATTGTCTCAGTTCGGTTCGATGAATAGACAGGCTGGGTGTGTTCACACATATTGGACATTTTATACTGTGTTAACTGTTTCCATAGTTTTATATGTTATACTTTATTCACATCATATACATTTCTGTGTGTTATAAACTGTTCACACATATTTTATCACAGAGAGGTGAACAATTTGTTTTCATACAGCACTGAGCAGGAAGGAGGGGCCGAATTGTCTGTAGACAGGGAATAAAGAAAAGTTACTTTCGAGACTGGTACCGAAATCCAGTTCAAACTCGTTTTTCCTTGAAAGATAAGAAATATGACTGCATGGTTGCCAAGGTAACCTTAGATTGACTAGATGGTCAGCCAATAGGAGAAGATCCCCCTCCAGGAGGGAGGTGGGTTCATGAAGTTCTTATATTATCCTAAAACAGGAAGTAGCGTCAGACAATCTTGAGCAGAGCAATTTCTCAGGTGAAGTACGCCTCTATTGTCTCCTGAAATGCATTTCAGAACTTTGTTTTGGTAATACTTTAACTGTGGTGTGTATTAAAACTCTCTTAAACTAAGGTGAAGTCTTCCGGTGTACCTGCCTGATCCAAACAACCCAAAGAAAGGTGTTCGTAAATTTGCAACAAATGGGGGCTCGTCTCGGGGATCGAAGGTACAAATTGGATCCAGACTGGTCTGCTCTGGCATCGAGAGGAAAGGCGCGCCACATCTAATCAGGTAAGCGGAACCTGTTGGTCTCAAGACCCGAAATCTGCATATTCGACCGTTAGAATCTGAATTTAAAACCTCTTGATGTCAGAGAACTGTCTGCTAAAATTGAAAGGAGTAAGGATAAAATAAAGTTAAGAAACGGGGTTAAGCCCCAGAAGTCCCATGGTAGCTCTCCACCCACTCTTCGACGGGAGGTGGGACAGGCAGAAGAGGTTCTGCTAGCTGAGTTGATCAAACACTCGAGAAGTGGGACACTCTTAATTTTGAGAATTGATTACAAGGTCTCGGACCTCATTAAATTAACTTGGAATATTGAAAGAAAAAAAAAGAGGTTTTAATCGGAGTGTAAGACTCCTGGGTTTCAAAAAGGGGGTCTAGGACCCTCGCGGTAAGATTTTTGGGGTAATAAGGAGGTGGTCTGACTCGTCTCGTGTGTGTGTGTGTGTGTGCGTGCGTGCGTGTGTGTGTATGAAAGAAAAATACTAAATAAACTGAGCAGGGAACTGTGAACGCCCAACCCTGGAGGGCGGATGAGAGTGAGATGTGAATGAGAATGAATTGAGTCCACCTCTGAGTATGAATGAGGTTTTTAAAGTAATACCAGAACAAAAAGCAAAAGGTATTAGCTGCCACAGCGCAGCTTTATTCAGAAAAGAGTTAATGGTGGTAAAGAGAAAAAACTGGAAGAGAAAAAGGTGGGGCCATGCCCCTTTGAGGGAGACAGATAGAGGCTATCAGCGCCCGCTGGGGTGGGGCTGCCTAGACAGTTGAAGGTCACAAGTTGCAACAACCCCAGAGGGGGGTGGACCAGACAGAGGTGCCTGGAGGAAGAGAGGAGGTCAGCTGAAAAACAGAAAGGATGGGGACGGAGGAACCCCATCAGTGTGATGAGAAAGTCAGAGCTGACTTGAAAGCAGAGCCATTAGAAGAAGGACAAATGTTGTTCACAGATGGATGTTGTTTCAGAAAATTAGATGGAGAACTGAGTGCAGGACGGCCTCACGGGGTGTGAGGCTGTTAAGAGGGAAACGTGCAGGAAGGCCTCACAAAGGTGTGAGGCTGTGCAGAGGGAAACGGGAAGGAAGTCCTCACAAAGGTGTGAGTCTGTGTAGAGGGAAACAGGAAAGAAGTCCTCACAAAGGTGTGAGGCTGTGCAAAGGAAAAAGGAAAATGTGAAGTCCTCTCACAAAGTGTGAGGATTGTGCAAAAAAAGGAGTGAGAGAGGAATGAGTGGTATTTTTGAGCGACCCACGAAGGGACTGTTTGTTAAGTATGTGTGTGGAAAAGATAACGCTTAATGAGTGAGTAAAATTTCTAGTTGTGGGGAATATTTCTTATAGTGTAGTTTTTGTGATCAAAACTCAGAGTGAAAGTGTGGATCAGGTGAATAAAATGGGCATTTTAAAAGGTGGAGAGGAGTGAATATTATTAAAACAAATAGATTTAGTCCTGGTAATGTGGCCCTCGTTGACATGATTTCTGGCCCCCAAGAAAATCTGAGAAATAAAGTACTTCTGTCGCTTGATTAGGATGTTGACAGAACAATAGAGAATAACAAATGAAACAAATTGAACTTGTTGTGGAATCCGTGACCTAGAAAAGATGGTGGGTATCAGATTTGAGATAATGTAGGTTTTAAAATTGGCCTTTAGCTTGAAAGAAAAAAATGTAGCAGTATTTTTGTGAGTGAGCTTCACACCCTTGGTATTGCAGGTGTGTCGAACTCATTTCCACCGAGGGGCCACATCAGAAAAATGGTTGCCCTCAAAGGGCCAGATACAAATGTAAGACTGCTGTATAAATGTGGATAAATTTAACTAAATGTAACATAAAATAAAATATAACTACTCCTTAAGACTAAATAACGCTGATTTTATTTATTTAACTTACAAATATCACATATATTCATATATATTTGCATAGATGTAGGAAAATATGTCTGCTTGTTGCTCTGCAATAATATAAAAACTTGGCAGGTTATGAAACCCACACTACTCCATAAATCAATTATCAAACTTTCCAATTGAATAAGGAAAATAAGTTATGACATTAACTTTGTTCAAAATTTTGACATAGTAAAGAGGGGCAGAACGGTCCATCCAACAATTGTGATAAGAACATGGGACAGGTGTAGCATTATACAAAAAACAAATGGCTGCACACAGCCTGGCAAGGGCCTTACATCTAACTAATGAGAGATGGAATTAGCATTAAAAAAATTACTTTCATAAACACGTAAACCTGCAATCCCAAATACATTGCTGCAAATTTAACATAATATAATAAGACATTTAATAAATTCAAGATAACAACATTAGAGTTGAAGTCTCACTTTAACATACTTAGCACTGTGCTTGGCATGCAATATGGGAAATATATTAGCAGATTGTGTCAGTGTGCCCGTTTCACGTATATGACAATCAGACCGTTTAAGCTCTCGTGGGCCACCTCTGGCCCGCGGGCCGTGAGTTTGACACGTGTGGTGTAGAGTTTTGCCTTAGATTCTGATTTTGGTGTTAACATTGTGTTTTTACTTTCACTGTATGAGGTGCTGTTAAGATCCTTGTGCTGGCCGGAGAGCAGGATGACCCGACTGGAGGCAGAGGCTGACAGATTTTCCAGAAATAGAATTGGCTATCAGAGAACTGAGTTTGAACTTTATTAGCCTATAACCTGAGATGGAGAACTTTACTAATTGGTTTTTGCTATTTAGGTGAAGGTTTCTGTGAAGTGCCCTGAGACAACTGTTTGTGTGGTTTAGAGCTATATAAATAAATACATGAAATAATATTAACAGAATTGAATTGGATTGCTTTATTTTTAAGCTAATCTTAATTTTTTACTTTTAAGAAAAAGTTGAACTGAGTGAGTTCTTGAGTCAGGAGGGATGTTCTGGCAACACACAGAATGTCAAGTCTGTGTCAAGGCTCTCTTTTCTACCTCGTCCATGTACAGGTTGGCAACAATAGGAGAAACTGGAGACCCCATAGCACACCCATGTTTCTGCCTATAATATTCAGAGTCCGTCAGAGTCAGAGTTTCTTTATTGTCATTCGCACCTCATGTGGTACATGTGGTGGAGCGAAATTATGTACACAGGGTCCCAGTTACATCCAACAATAAAATGTCTAAGAAAAACAGTAATAACATCTAAGATATGAACTAAGAAAAACATCAACTAAATATACACTAAGCACTCATAACATAAAACATTGAACATCAGCACAAACATGAACATGAGTATGTGAGCAGATGTGCACGCATGAACACATCAACATTGAAACAGATCAGCAGCAACATGAAACAGATCAGCAGCAACATGATATGGTTTTTCACAGTGATTATTCTAGTTAGATATTCATGAGTCTAACAGCCTCAGGGTAGAAGCTGTTCCTCAGTCTAGTGGTTCTACACTTAATGCTCCTTAACCTCCTTCCTGAGGGGAGTGGGGCAAAAAGTGTGTGTGCTGGGTGG